AATAAAGCTATAATCTAAATAGAAATTAAAACCTTGTAAATTACCCTAATCATTAAATTTTCTTTATCTGGAGCTTCCTGGATAAATTTTTCAATTTCTTCCTTCGTTAAAATCTTAGATTTCTTTGCCCCATAACCTTGAGCTTGCCGTTTCAATAAAGAACGAAGTTTTGATTATGTAGATATATCTACATTGTGTTTAAGTGCAAGGATTGACTTCAGCATTGAATAATTGGCCCATAATGTTGAAGATTTCATCTTTAAACAAAGGTCTAGAAAGTATGCCATTACAACATTTTCTGAGAAAGAACTCGTATTTTTACTCATGCGATAATCCATAAAACGTCTGTATGCATTTTCGTACTTTTCTCTTGATTTCTTTGGCAATAATTCTAATGAAGCAGTATTCACTGCCTCAACCAGCTCTGGAGGAGTCCCAGGAATGGAAATTTCATCATCACTTATCATTTTACTTTCGAGAACACCAGCAATTAAATTTATAAGCGTCAAGTTTGACAATTCAACCTCAATACGTTTCCATAGTAACCCAAGTAATTTTATTAGTAATTTCAAAGCACCATTTATTTGGGAATAAAATTATCGCGTTTTTTTTTAATCAATTAATATCTGTCGAATTTTAAACGATTTGCGGAAAAATAGTATGTTTACCTCGTAGGAAAAGCCACATTCCTGGACTCTGTGTTGCTAAGTCTCGGCTTGCGCCTCGACTTAGCAATCTTCACAGTCGTCCAGGAATGTTAAGCTTTTCCTACCCGGTAAACAATGTACTATTGCTTTCCGTAAAATTAATTATTGCATACCAGTTAAAAGAATGCCAAATCTGTATAATATACTAAGTATAAAAATTATTTAATGCAAATCTTTTTTTTCTTCCTTACTTGTATTTTCCAGATATCTTTGACAAATTGTTTTCATAAAGATTATTTACAGCTTTAATAAAATCTCTTGTTGTGCACATCACTGTCTACGCAGTAGTCAACTTATTTTCTGTCCCTTTGTTCGATTAGAATAAACCAGAAAAATTCCGTTATCTAAAATAAAATCACTAAACTGAAAATTGCGTAGCCCATGAAATAAATTTTGTTAAAGATCCAGATCCTTTTTTGCCTAAGCTGGAATAATGGCCACAAATCACTCTGCGTCGAGATTTAAAAGAAAACAAGCAGAAAAAGGATCCTATTGTTCTTGGCACGGCTTTAGTAATACCTTATCGCATTTAGTATCCGCTAAAGTCGTTATTAGGATGTTTGTCGGTGGATATTTTATACTTATTTAAAAAAATGTTCGCGAAGTACTCAAGAAAACCGAAATGGAATATAGAAGAATGGAATGTATATATGGAGTGTGCATATACAGTAAAAAAATTTGCTTTAAAATTAAACATTTAATTTAATATATTGGCATTGGAATTATTATTAAAAGAAGCTAAAAAGTAACATAAAGTAAAGTAAAAGGTGTTCATTAAGTATTCTTTCCACCACTGAAAGTTTGCCGTCATTGCGTCAAATTAATCTCTATCTGGTATAAGTGCATGCAAGCACTCCTGACCACGGCGCAGCAGACGAAATGTGGTTTAGTCTCCACTTCCATGCGAAATGCATTGTACTATCTTTCTTCTTCATGTACCATGTCCTTTCAGAACGTTGGTTACCATCATAGCTATTTTAATTTTATTCACTGCCACCCTAAATAGCATGCTTGTATCTACACCATACCAATCTCGCAAGTTCTTCAACCATGAGGTTCTTCTTCGTCCTGGACTGCGTTTGCCTGCTATTTTTCCTTGCATGATATTTTGTAGCAATCTATATTTTAAACCTCTCATTATATGTCCGAAATATTCCAGCTTTCTCTGCTTGATGCTTTTTATGATCTCAGTAGTCTTGCTGAGACGTTCAAGTATTGTGGAGTTACGAATCTTCTCCACCCAGGAAACTTTTAAAATTCTTCTATAGCACCACATTTCGAAAGCCTCAAGGCGATTTAGATCGATTTTATTCACAGTCCAGGACTCGACAGCATAAAGTAAGACCGAGAACACGTAGCAGCGAAGTAGGCGGATCCTTAATGCCAATTTTAGGTCTTTGTTACATAACACCTTGGACATCCTTCTAAAAGCAGCTCTAGCCTGCTCTATTCTGGATCTAATTTCGCCGTGATTTTCTGCATTACAATTTAATTGCTGTCCAAGGTAGACGATTTTATCAACTTGCTCAAGTTTGGTATTATTTACATATACAGACGGTTTTATATTCTGTTGTTTACTTATTACAAGTATTTTGGTTTTCCTTATGTTAAGATCCAGACCTGCCTCCCTACAACTCTCAACGACACTATCAAGTAGTGTTTGCAGATCTTGTTGACTAGAAGCTAGGAGTACTGTATCGTCCGCATATCGCAAATTATTGATGACTTCGCCGTTCACAAGTATTCCTTCTTGTTTATCAGAAAGTGCTTTTCTGAAAATTCTTTCGGAGTAAACGTTAAAAAGCAGGGGTGACAAGAGGCATCCCTGCCGTACTTCTCTTTTAATATTGAGAGCTTGTGATTCCACACCATTGTACTATGCACTGCATAATTCCACTTACAATAGAACCTTTCTGCCTTTACGTGAATTTGACTCCGCCTTCGCGCAGCTTCATGGTCAGGAGTGCTTGAGCTATCTTTATATATATATATATATATATATATATATATATATATATATATATATATATATATATATATATATCCGGTGGAGCAGTATGGCTCTTGCCATACTGCTCCACCATAGGCCCATAGGCCGATAAGATCCCAGCATATCCTAATCTAAGCCGCAGATTCATCTAGAATTTTAAACTGCTGCGTTAGACTTTTTGTTTTCCGTACACCGAGCTGGGGCTCGACCCACATCCACTAAACCATTCGACAGTGAAGCGAATGAGAGGCAGCCGCACAGCCCGCTGAGCTATCTGACCGCTATCTTTAATGAATATGAATTCATTACTGTCCAATCTCCAGAGCTATCAGTGATTTCAGAAGTTAAAGAGGTGCAGCTGCGGACAGTAATCATAAATATTGGTAATAGTCAAACTTAACACAAGCTACAGAATAGAAATACAGAAAGAGATATAACGTGGCCTTACTTAAGAACCAACAAGTGGCAAAGAGGTTAAAAATGAGATTAAAGCAAGAGTAGAGGAAGACAACTTAATGTCTGATACTTTGAAAGAAGAATGGAATAAAAACACAAGCAGCTAATGTTTGCTTAGGCAATATAGAAGCGAAAAGCGAAAAAGACTGGTTCGACGAGGAATGTAAAGGAACACTAATGCTAACAAATAAGGCAAAGTTGGAAATAGACAATAATAGAACCCAAGAAACAATTACAAAACATAAGACAATAAGAAAAGAAGCTAAAAGAATCTACAGGCAAAAAAATGAGAGCATATTTGAAAAGAAAAATAAAAACAATAAAGGAGCATTACATTAGCAAAGAAATAAAAAAAATTTATCAAGAAGTGAAGAAAAACAGACAAACAAATAACACGCAAACAATTTTTTGTAGGAATAAAGAAAGAAGGCTCCTTGTAAATACTGAGGAGAAATTAAACAGATGGGCACAATATTTTGAAGAACTGCCAAATAATGAAGAACAGATGCAGACAAATGAAGCAATAGGTCAATCAGAGGATAATGATGAGAAGTACGTAGGGAAACAAATATGTATTTTTAAATTGTTATTAAATAATTTGAATTGGTAAAACAAAGGCGAACGATTTTTTTTTATAAATCAAACCTTTTAAAATAATTAATTTCTGCAGTTTTATCATAATAATGACATTATTTGATTTCAGAATATATTTTGATTCGAAAATGATATGTTTAAAGCTCGTAAAGTTATTCAATTTGTTTATAAGTCTAAAAAATGTTTGAAACTTTAAAAAATATTCTAAGCTCTCCTAGTGAACCGATTTGAATTTTACAAAAACCGTTTGAAAGCTTGAGCCTTCCTTTATACGTAGAAAAATTTGCAACTATCTGAGGGCCTTATTTAGAGCCTACTAGAAATTTGAAAATTTTCGATTTTTTTTTCAGTAGGCTGGATTTCACAATTATGCAAAACCTATCTGACTGATCTTAACAAAATTTAGCACACGTTTTAAACATATTAAAAAGTTTTTCTAGGCGCGGAATATGGAGCTTGTAAGTCAAGTTTAGAAAGTCAAAAACATTAACAGGATTAACTTAATGCTTTTGTACTTTTTTTCCAACTATTGCTATTTTTTCAACAATAAACATTAAATTTTTAATTTCTAGCTAACGAAATATTGTGTAAAATTGAATTACGTAACTTTTCTGGGATCAATATTTTCCGAATTATAAACGAAAATAGAAGCAAAAAAATGAGAAATTTTTAATTGTTTTCATTTCAGATTTTGTTAAATAAAAACATTTAGCACAGAGTTTGCGACTGGCGCATATCGTGATTATCAATATTGGGCACATCCTGAAGGGATTTCAACAAAAAAATAGCTTCCTATGGAAAATGTCCAATCCAAAACAGATCCCGTCTAGACTACGTTACTAAAACGTAACGGCATTTTTTGAAAAAAATACATATATTTTAAGAAAATTACAAAAAGTGTTTTTACTAATATCTCTGATGTTTCGCTTACTTTTTTTGCAAAACAAATTCCGTCGTTGAAAGGTTAATTAAGAAAGAGTTTAAAAACTGCTTACGTTTGCTGATTACGATTTACCAAGTTTGAAAATAGTACACGTCATTTAATACGTCCAAAGTAATTTGATAATTTATCAATGTATTGTTGTTCTTTTGAGTATAAAACACCTAAAAAGTTATTTACCCAAAATAACACTAATTATTTATAAATTTTATTTACATGTGCGAAATAAAAATATTTATTAATAACAAGCTTAGATATCGATAAAGCCAAGCTGATAAAAAGAAATAACTTTCGAACGATATCGTTAGTTTGCAAATAATTATTGACCGTGTCACTTTGACCGCAATTATCAATATTACTATAGGAATCATTATCAAATCATTTATTTCTTCGGATGAGTAATTATGGTATTGAGCAAATTTATATTAGATATTTTAAACCTTCAACAGTTTAATTGAAATGCAGCCTTTCGTTTAAATTTTAAAAAAGTAACCAAATAGAACAATATAAATTTTCAGCTAAAAATAGAGAGCCAGAAAAATGAAATTTTGGTTGATATTAGTTTGTTACATGTGGATTTTTGCGGAATGCTATACTGCGAAAAATCGTACAGGTAAGTTGAAAATTTTTAATTTATGTGTTATGTTAATTAATCAACTTTCTTATTACAAATACAATACTCTGTATATTATTCAATGTCCTATACCTATCTTTAACTGTTTTGAAAGTATTAAGTGTTTTTTATTTGATGTGAATGTGGGAGATGTTTAAAATGTCGCGAATATCTTGGCAATATCCTCATCTTAATTAGAAATTTCTTCTAACGTTACTCAACATCTCAAGCATGACCATTTAAATATCCCCATACGAAGTCTAATGGCATCAGATCAGGAGATCGTGCTGGCCACTATATCGATCCTCGCCTCCCTCTCCACCTATTTGTAATATTCGGTTTAGTTACTGCCGAACATTGATTTGGTAAGGGGTAGTGTTTTATCTTACCGAAAGTATATTCTATTCGTTCGAACTGGTATACCATTATTTTTGAAAAGTGCTAAATAATTATCGCCATTCGAATTGCCTCAATTGCATCTCCTGTGGTATGGTATCTCCTACATTTCCTGGCCATATTTTAACCTTTTTAGGGTATTGTGTGTGTTCTTGTCTCATCCAGTGAGTATTTTTACTAGACCATGAGCAGCAATTTTGATGTTTAGCATGCCCGTAAACTGTTGTAAGCGTGCACTCATCAGAAAACTAAATATGTTCTAATAATAACATTGTTACCTTATATAGCCATCATTTGTTTACAAAAATAAGTTCTCCAATCAAAGTCGTCTTCGATAAGTTCCTGATTTGGTATCATTTTAGAGGAGTGTATTTTATGTTATAACCTCGGAAACCTTTGTTTTTATGGTGCTAGAAAGGTCACCAATGGAGAGACTGCGGACGGCAGCCCGATTGTTGGTGGAGAGCCAGTCGTGGGTTCGAAACTAGCTTTTGGAACCGAGAATGGGTCCAACGTATGAAATAAGTAAAGATGGGATAAGAGATATTAGAAAAGATACAGAAATAAACAAAAAGAAAGATGGGTAAAATTACCAAAGATACGATAAGATAGAAACAGGGCGCCACTCAAGTTTTTGGGGTTAAGGAGAAAATTAAGAAACCTTAGAAAAGAAAAGAGACAAGGAAAGATATTTAGGTTCAGAGATCAAACCCAAGGAAAGATACCAATAGTTAATTATCAAATAAATTTGGTCAACACACCATAAACAAATAATAAATATATTACTTATCTACGAAACTTAATCAGCCTGATTTTTCTACCGGTCAAAGGTATAGTAATATTTAAAGGTAAAAAGCAAATACTCAGAGTTACTATTTTATCAGGGAACTTGTTAGAAGCCGACAAATAAAATACACATATAAAACAATAACAATATATTTAACATCAAAATTCTGACGCCACTTATTGCAACACAAGTAATAAAAGTACACCAACAAATATAAAATGATGGTATATATGTATATATATATATATATATATATATATATATATATATATATATATATATATATAATATACAAAGATATATAATACAATCATGTACAAATAAAGTTTTGACGTATCTCGAGATATTACAACAAAAAAAATGAATAAAAATTATAACCAACACAAAGGATAACAAAAATTAATCAGTTCTAAATTTACAAAAATACAAAAAGGTTACAGAAATGAAAACATAAGAATTTAACCAAACCGCACCTGGTTAAGTGGATTAACTATCTTGCACTATTATTTAATGAGAAACTGAGACTTAAATGTTCATAATTATTACTTATTGAAATTTTTTGAATCTATTAAAATGTTCTTTAAATTGAATGCAAAAATCAGCAATCTACAGGTGAAGACATGGAGGAACTGTAGATACGTCCAGATAATGGCAGATGATATGATACCATACCATATTACTTACCCAGATAATTTGAAAATAATAATTACTTACAGTAAATCTTGACGACTGCGGCACTAGGTACTTCACTGAAGCTATATACTGTACTTAATACTTTACTTGTATCCAACACTGACTTCAATTAACATTAAAGGTACTTTAGAACTAGGTATATATAATCTAGTATAGTCTAAGAAAAGAAAACTTAAATATAAAGTGTATACACACTTAGAAAACAATTCACACACGGTAAGATAACAGATACGATGTGTGCGAAGCATCTCACGAGAAATCAGCCTTTTACAGAAAACAGCCAAGTAAAAAAGGTTCTTTTAAAATTTTACCAAACTTAATTCAAAAAAGAAGAAGGGATATCTCCGTCTTAAAAATCGTAGACCAGCCTGTGTAAGATTCTAACGAAATCGGAAGATTCTAACGACATTTGAGGTATTTACGGTAATAGCAATTGGATGAGATAAAATACAAACATTCTAGATTAGGTTTTTCCCGAAAAACATTACAACGGGCGTTCGACGACAATTACCGAATTTATGAAAAAGAACCCGAAAAAGGATTAATTAAGAATTAGCCAAACCGGCGTCTTTAGATAAATAGGTAGGTAGATTCTTCAGTTATTTTTCACTATTTTCCCAATAAAAATTTCTGATCATAAACACGACCATCAGCGTATCATCAAGGGGTTAAAAGGAATTAAAAGTAATTTAATATATTAACTATAAAAAATGTTACAATGTTATTGTTCGAATTGAATGGCTAACATCAACCATTGGGGCTGTTTTTTCGAGTGGGTTTCCCTCAAACTCAAGCACAATATTAAATTTGACATTATCGGCTATTGAATTTGCAGCTGTTTTTTAATCTACTTTACATGTGAATGCTCGAAAAATTGTTTTTCTAGTTTACTAATTGTTCCTGGGTATAGCAGCGGTAAAGAGGTTTTATTGTTTTATATGATCACTGGGTCCCCAAATATGAAAAACCGCGGAGTGCTACCTTTTAAATGGGTTCGTTTTCGAAAAGGTGTGAATTTGTCCCAATACACTAGGATAAATTTGGGTTTATTCTATGCAGTTTTCGATTTACAGAAAAGTTGTTCCAAATTAATTTTCTATCAAATTAAAAATTACTTTTAAAGGTAAAAACACTTTTTTTTGTAAAAATATATTCAAAAAACTGAGCAATAAAAACAGGAACACAAGCGATTTTTCTTGAATGTCCCTTAACTTATTCTCACGAGAGTATAGGTATAGGCATTGCTTTATAGAAAAAAAAACGTGTGTTCCTAATTACAAATCCTAATATCCTAAAAGCCTTATTAGTAGTGATGTGATACTGTTCATTGAAGTGCAAGTTTTGTTGAAAATTTACACCAAGATCTTTATACACTGGGCAATTCTCTATTTCTCTATTCTCTATTTAAATATTTTAAGCTTTGTTTAAAATTTCCCACCAAAATTAAAATTTGAAATTCATGCTTAATTTTCCGCTTGAATAAGTTCGGATACAAATCTTATGGAGCGCTGAATTTCATATCCAACTCATCGAGCAATAAGACAAAAGAGGGAATCTAATCCTTATGAAAAGGAGACCAAAAAAGTGGCCTTTGATGGCGGACATATCCGGAAATGCGAATGCGCCAAATTTAAATTTTCCGACACTTATCAACAGTAGCTATATAATATTTTTCAGAATGTGTCTTAGGGCAGGTTTCACCAACGACAAATAGCAGTCTATTCAATGAATAAAGTTATTCGATCAATAAAACTGACATATCTGCGTTTCACCAACGTCAAATAAGACTTATTCTATGAATAAACTCCAAATAAGTTATTAGTCCAATATCGGCCAAATAAATATTTATTCTTCGAATAAGTTGACAGCTAACCTCACTTTAAATATCAATAATAAAGAAAATGCATTAGTTTAACTTGAAATTATCAACAATATACTGCAGGTAAACGTAATTATATCAGACAATTTAATTTTGTATACATATATATTGATTTTCGAATATTATCTTCATCATCTGCAAATGGAAGAAACCCTTTTGCTGAATTTGATGATGTGGACCTTAAAACTAGGTTTAAATTATCAAAAAATTCAGTAGATGATTCATTAAATTTGATCGGTAACCAGTTGCATCCTGTAAGCAACAAAAATAGACCCAGAGATGTGCGAAATCAATTGTTAATTGCTCTTCGTTTTTATGCAACAGGATCGTTTCAAATATGTATTGACCATTGGCATTGACAATTATTATTATTTTGATAAATTAAATCAACCAATATCAAATATAATAGGTTATGTATATAATTACAGTGAAAAATAGTGCAATGTGGCTGGCCAAACACCTAAGAGGTGGAGGCCAAAAGAGGTGTCAACGAGTACAGTCTGTGGAAAATCATTACGCTTTGAACTTATTCGACAAATAACTAACTGTGGATTACAAATAGTTATTGAAACGGAATAAAATTTATTCTACTAATAAATTTATTCTACTAATAAATTCTACTATTTATTCTACTAATAAATTTTATTCAACGATTAACTATTCAGTGATTTATTTGTTGTTGGTGAAACCGGCCCTTAGACGAGAAAGGTTTAATTAATTATTAATGTTAAGAGTCTAAAATGCGCCACAATTGTTAAAAAACTTCAATATAAATAAGATTTCATGTGACATTTGGGAGAAACAATAACATAACCCAACTAAATTTGATGTCAAACGAGGAGAGAGACTCTCTTTCCTTGTTTAAAGATCGCACTTCCTGTCTAACAATATGTTTGCCCCCACTACCTTTACATTCCCTCTTTTGTCTTTTTGCTCGATGATCCAACTAAAGCATTGTCGTGGAACATCTAGGAGGTAGGTGATCTGTGACTTGCCGTGTAACTTGTTTTTTTTTGATAACTTGTCTATCTCATTAATTTATTTTTGGATCTTAAATTTTATATGCTGGCCTGTCCATTACTCTTTGTACCTTTGAAATTTTATCAATCTTTGTGTTTTTAATTGTTTACTTTACTTTAAACTTTAAACTATAAATAAAAACAGGAAGTTTTAATTTGTTAAATTATTCTGTTAAATAAAATAAAGGCTAGTTTCCAGTCCAGTCTGATTCACTTTTTTATTTTT